TCAAAGTGACCAAGTGTCTGGTCACGGGATCATGCATTACGGTACGAGTAAAGTGACTTGCCGGTAACGAGATTGAACGAGGTATTGGGATACCGACGATCGGATCTCGGGCAAGTAACATACCGATTGACAAAGGGAATTGTATACGGGGTTGCTTGAATCCTTGACATCGTGGTTCATCCGATGAGATCATCGAGGAGCATGTGGGAGCCAACATGGGTATCCAGATTCCGCTGTTGGTTATTGACCGGAGAGCAATCTCGGTCATGTCTACATGTCTCTCGAACCCGTAGGGTCTACACACTTAAGGTTCGGTGACGCTATGATTGTAGGGATATGTATATGCAGTAACCCGAATGTTGTTCGGAGTCCCGGATGAGATCCCGGACGTCACGAGGAGTTCCGGAATGGTCCGGAGGTAAAGAATTATATATAGGAAGTGCTATTTCGGCCATCGGGATAAGTTTAGGGTCCCGGGGGTCCACCGGGTGGGGCCACCTATCCCGGAGGGCCCCATGGGCTGAAGTGGGAAGGGATCCAGCCCAAAGTAGGTTGGGGCGCCACTTCCCCCTAGGGCCCATGTGCCTAGGGTGGGGGAAACCCTAAAGGAAGAGTCCTAGGAGGGGAAGGCACCTCCTAGGTGCCTTGGGGAGGAGGGATTCCTCCCCTTGGCCGCACCCCACTAGGAGATTAGATCTCCTAGGGCCGGCACCCCCCCCCCTTGGCCCTCCTATATATAGTGGGGAGATGGAGGACTTCTTACCTTGGCCTTTGGTGCCTCCCTCTCCCTCTCCAACACATCCTCCTCCTCCATAGTGCTTGGCGAAGCCCTGTCGGAGTACTGCAGCTCCATCAACACCACGCCGTCATGCTGCTGCTGGAGCCATCTCCCTCAACCTCTCCTTTCCCCTTGCTGGATCAAGAAGAAGGAGACGTTACGCTGACCGTACGTGTGTTGAACACGGAGGTGCCGTCCGTTCGGCGCTAGGATCTCCGGTGATTTGGATCACGTCGAGTACGCCTTCCTCATCCCCGTTCTTTGAACGCTTCCGCGTGTGATCTACAAAGGTATGTAGATGCAATCCAATCACTCGTTGCTAGATGAACTCCTAGATGGATCTTGGTGAAACCATAGGAAATTTTTTTGTTTTCTGCAACGTTCCCCAACAGCTCCACCTTTTTGTCCCAATTGTGATCTCACCCTTGACTTGTAACTAGGCCTAGACATCTTTTTGCCTCAGCTGCAAGTCTAGCCTCGACTCGCAACTCGGTCCCCACCTCTTTTCTCTCAGTTGCTAGTCCACTCTCGACTCGGAACTCGGGTGTGTTGTTTTGTTTTCACCCCAGTTGCAAGTCCACTCCCAACTTGCAACTAGATGCATGTAAATTTGTAATCACCCCAGTTGCAAGCCAATCATATACTCGCAACTCGGGGGTGTAGTTTTGTAGTTACCCTAGTTGCAAGTCCACCCTCGACTTGCAACTCAGGGGGTGTTTTTTTGTTCTTGTTTCATGGTAGTTGCAATTAGACCCTCGACCTGCAACTAGGATTTTCTATTGGCCCAGTTGCAAGTCCACAATCGACTCACAACTTGAGGGAATGTAGTTTGTAATCGCCCCAGTTGCAAGTCCACCCCCGACTTGCCACTCGAGGCATGCAGTTTTTGTAATCGCCCTAGTTGCAAGTCCACCCTCGACTCGCAACTTGGGGATGTAGTTTTGTAGTTGCCCTAGTTGCAAGTCCACCCCGACTTGCAACTCAGGGGGGTGTAGGTTTTTGGTTCTTGTTTCATCATAGTTGCAATTGAGACCCTTGACCTACAACTAGGGGTTTCTGTCGGCCCAGTTGCAAGTCCAGAATCGACTCGCAACCCGAGGGAATGTAGTGTGTAATCACCCCAGTTGCAAGTCAACCATGTGCTCATAGCTCCGGGGTGTAGTTTTTGTAGTTGCCCTAGGTGCAAGTCTACCCACGACTCGCAACTCGGGTTTTTTTTTCTTGTTTCATGGTAGTTGCAATTTGACCCTCGACCTACAACTAGGGTTTTTTGTCGGCCTAGTTGCAAGTCCACCCCCGACTTGCAACTCAAGGGATATAGTTTTAGTATTCGTCCAGTTGCAAGTTAACCATGTGCTCGCAACTCGGGGATGTAGTTTCGTAGTTGCCCTAGTTGCAAGTCCATCCTAAACTCTTAACTTTGGGGGATGTAGTTTGTATTCACTCAAGTTAAAAGTCCACCCCTAGTTGCAACTCGAGGGATATATTTTTAGTATTCGGCCCAGTTGCAAGTTCACCTTGTGCTCGCACCCTAGTTGCAAGTCCATCCTCAACTCTTAACTTTGGGGGATGTAGTTTGTATTCACTCAAGTTAAAAGTCCACCCCGACTTGCAACTCGATGGATGTAGTTTGTAATTGCTCCAGTTGCAAGTCAACCATATATATGCTCACAACTCGGGTATGTAGTTTTGTAGTTGCCCTAGTTGCAAGTCTGCCCTCAACTCGCAACTCGGGGGGAGGGGGGAGGGGTCCTGTTTTTTTGTTCTTACTTCATGGTAGTTACGATTAGACCCTGGACCTACAACTAGGGGTTTCTGTCGGCCCAATTGCAAGTCCACCATCGATTCGCAACTCAGGGTGTTGTTTTGTTTTCACCCTAGTTGCAAGTCCACCCCGACTTGCAACTCGAGGCATGTAGTTTCTTAGGGGCCCAATTGCAAGTCAACCTTCGACTCGCAACTAGGGGGCGTATATTTTGTAGGGGCCCAATTACATGTCAACTATCGACTCACAATTGTCCATGTGCGGAGGGACTGGCCCAGGCACACTCGCCTGCTATTGTGATTTTTTTGGACAAACAAACAAGAGACAATACGTGGGATGATGTCATACTTAGATGTGACATAACTATTCAAAAAAAATTGTCCGTGTTTTTGGGAAAGTGTTAGTGTTTCAGAAAATATTCAAAAAAATTAAAAAATGCATTTTAAAAACTTTTTGAGTTTTTTAAATTGTTCATGTTTTCAAAAATTGCTTGTGTTTTCAAAAATGTTTGCCACTACAAATATTGTTCACATTTTTATTAAAATATTCTGCATCTATAAATTTGTTCACAAATTTTCAATAAATGTCCAAAAAGGTTTCAAATCTGACGATGTAGTGAGTTCCTAAATATTCACGCTGATTAATTATCGCAAACATCCATTTATTCTAGTGGCTAGAAGACACGCGTTAAGTAGTTGTAGCATGGTAGTTCGATTCCTTCTTAAGTGTGGCTTTTGTCTTGCAACTTTTTCTTGTTTTTTTCTGAGACGAAACAACACACTTAAGATATTTTTTCCTGTGTGCTACAAACCAAGAAGCTTCGGTTCCTGAGAACTTCTGAAATTCCCTCAAAAAACAAAAAGAGAACTTCTGAAATCACTAGGAGTATTGCTTGCAAAGATCACTCTCATCTTCTCAAGTTGTGACAAGTGGCACACTGTATATGCGTTACTTGTCGTAACCTGGGAGTTTTTTCCTTTTTTCCCTCCGCCGTGCCCCTGCGCCCCTGCGCCGTGCTATTAGATTTTTAGATGTTTTTTTAGATGTTTTTAGATGCTATTTTTAGATGTTTTTACATATTTTTTAGATTATTTTAGTTTATATTTAGTTTAGTTTTAAGATTAGGAAAATTTCAGATGTGTAGTTATATTTATTTAGATGTGTAGTTAATTTAGATGTTGTAATTTGTTCATAAAAATTGTGCACTTTTGTATAGAAACTTTTTTTTTCATATATACGAAAATGTAGAGTGAAAACGAAAACAAACATATAAGAAAAGGCAAAGGAAAAAATGAAGCAGGAAAAGAAAACCGCCCGGCCCGGCCACCACCGCATTTTCATAAAGTGTTTCCACCGAGTCCACGTCGCACCGATCGAGCACCCGCGGCGAAGCAAGTCTTTTTTTAAGGTAGTTCTTTGTGGGTGTTAATCTATTGCGCACCTCTGGCCTAGCCCATATGGTGTTAGTGTTTTTTTATATTTAACAAATTTAAGAATGATTGTACCCCTCAAAAAAATTTAAGAATGATTGTAAAAAATGGTATAAATAATAGGAACATATCGTAGGAAAATATATTTTGCTTAAATTTTTAAATGATATTGTCAAAAAACAGTTTTTAAATGGGGAAATATTATAAAAGATGAGAAGTGTTCACCCGTTCCAAAATACTTGACGTGGATTTAGTTATGGAGTACAAAAGTTCATATACTCCTATGCTATGTAATATATTTGTGTACCTAATGACTAACGAGCACCTGAACACAAGCCCGTTCCTGCTTCATATGGGCCATCGGACAATGGTAGCAATGAAAAAGGCTAGTTGAAAATCTAACTGAAAATTATTTGAACTACATTTTCTAGCCGAGCAAGTGCCTGAGGAAGTCCATTTCTATAAGATGGAATCTGGATCAGAGTGATGAAGGTGAATATCTGAAGCCAAACTGAAGCTGAGCGTAATGACTTCAGTCTAAAAAATCAATGGAGATTGAAGGGGTGATTTGAATCTAAATGAAAAGGACTGCCTTCAGAGTTCAAGATCACACCAACTTTCTTTCTGCGGTTGTCCAGTGCAAGGAAATAAGAAATCAGCTCCACAAATTGCATCAACCTCTCGATGGCATCTTAATCGAAGTGCACAATCAATTTTAACTCCAGAACTAAAGAGATTGGGGATTTCACATGCTCTGTTTTCGCATAAATTACTAATGTCCCCCAGAAGCATCAAGCAAACCAATCAAGGCAGCAAAGTTTGCGGGCCAAATGGAATCATAGCAGTCATCAAGACAAACAAATGCAAATCTTTCATATTTTGATTCCACTGGCATCACCATGGTTTATTGGCTCGTATTTTGAAATCGTAGCAGTTATCAAGACAAACAATGCAAGTATTTCATAGTATTTTGATTCCGCTGTCATCGCTACAGTTTATTTTGGTATGTATGATTCCACTAGCATCACTACGGTTTGTATGGACTGGACATTCCTCCAATTACCGTGCTGCCCGTTTTCAGAGTGCCATCCGCATTTCTCTCGAGCAGATCATCAAAGAACTTGTTAGAAGGAACATAAGACGGCCTGCGAGACCCTGCAGACATTGGTTGCTTCAGGCTCTTGTTTGTCGGTGAATCTGACGCGGCACTTCGAAGCGGTACGCCAAAAGATTGCGATTGCTGTAGGGGCCTCATGTTCAGCGGTACTTTAAGAGACGAGCTGGAGGTAGAAAGATGCTGCGACGAAGATGCCACGAAAGGGTTTGACTCGGTGTTGTCCTGTGGGGCCCATGGTGGTGGCGGGTAAGGAGATGGGTTGTAAGGAAATTGTGGTTGAGGTTGAGGTGGTGGCTGCTGCTGCTGCTTAATGGGTGCAGTTTGAGGTTGATGCTGAGCCCAAGGAGCGACGTAGCTATTGTGCGCTGCAGCTGTTTGCTCTGGGTCTACATAATGAGGCTGTGGATGATAGCTGGTTGGGGAACCACCAGGATGCAAGGCAGGTTCAGGTGATGGGCTTGACACTATGGTGAGCGCAAGGAGGTCGCTCATAATCTTGTCTTCTGGAGAAGTCCTTATAGGAGCTAGATGATCAGGCAATGCTAATGCACTGCTTGAAGTAGATGGTGATGCTGTAGTGGTCACAGAAGCTGCTGAGCTTGCTGTTCCATCCTGCGTGGACGACGATGATGCGCCTACGCCTGAAGAGGCGCTCTTGTCATTTGCTGACCTGAATCTCGAATTCCTGATCACAATTATTCATCAGCAACGAACCATGCAAGATAGACTGAACAAAGTATGAAACAATAAAGATCGGTCATCAGTAGGACCTGCGAGCTAACTGAGAGAACTCATCATCTTCCTCCTCTTCCTCTTCATCATCCAAGACAAAAGTTGGTACAATGGCAGTTTCTGGAACAACTGTTACTGCAGGGGGTGTAGTGATCCCTCTGGGCAATTCACTCAACACATCCGTTTCTTCACCCGGTAGAGGGGAACCTGATGCAATTGCATCGTGTTTGGAAAGCAGAATTTGCAATCTGTCGTTTAAGTCGAGACTTTGGCTCAAGAGGTCCTCATCACTGTAATGCAGCACAGGAACGTCAGATAATTTATATGGAATTGCGGTTGTCATTCTGTAAAAATGATCCCTGCCTCTGAACAATGATTGCCACTACTTAACGTTGTCATGTTATACAAGGGAAGTGTCCAGGTAATAAGCTTGACTTCGGTCTGGGTTTAATTTTTCGATGGAGAATCTTAATCGTTATTGATTTGAAACAGAATTACAATCTGAGTGAAAGGTTGCGTGGAGAAACATCGGATTATTCTTACACACTAGTTACACACAGAAATCCTTTAAACCAAGTATGCCCTTCATAGCAAAAGATGATATGACTGCTGCCACATATTTATCCCTTAATAAAAGGTAATAAGATGCGAGAATGTAGGAGACAATGTTCATACAGCACGTACCTCACTGAACTAACCAAACTCATGATCTTTTTCTGGTATGATCGGCATTGGTTCACAAGTTCCGCGATAATTTCATCATTCACAGCCTAAAATGACAAGCATGTCAGTGATTTAGAAATTTGCATGTGTAGTGACCAACACAAGGCAACAATAAATCATTTCAAACCCTCAAGATTAGACTCATCTACGTTGGATGCAAACAAGTGTTCTTGAGCATACAACAGTACCACACTAAACAAATTAGTGAAAACTTTAAATATTATGACATTTACAAACATCAATATAGAGGAACAAACAATAGGGTTGTACACGACAGTGACTTGCGCCGTGACCCATGCGGACGACCGCTCGGGAAAGACTACATGTCAGCAGGTGGATTCCTTGGTGGATCTCATTACCTTGATCGTCCCTCTCACATATGGAATGGTGGCGACAGGTTTCTTTTCCCACCTTGGTGGTGGTTATTCTACCTCTGTATTCATGGTTTTCTCTAACATGGCAACACCAGCAACGACCCTCCTGCTTCCTCACTGATGCAGGATCCACGGTGGCAATGAATCTTCTTGGGTAGAGCTGTTGAGGATTGTGCTGCCTTTGGACAGTTCAGGAGCTACTCTGCCTTGTGGGGGCACAAAAAATCCCAAACTGCTCTTCCTTTGCGAAACAAGACAGTGGAAGTAAAGGGCGAGAAACTTGCGACGTAGACTTGGATTTCAACATTACTTTCTAGTCAAATCTCTCGAAACAGGCTTTCGCCCCGCTTTATATATAAAGCAACAACCGAACAAAGTACACGGCCGAATGATACAAGGTAGAGAGGTAGCCCTCTTACAAAGTCGATCCCAGGATGATCGGATCACGTACACCGCACGCGACTATGCTACCGAAAAAGAACAGAGGAGGGATGTCGGCGCCATGCATCGCTGCTGTCGAGTCCACAATGGACAAAGGTTTTCACCTGAAACCCGGACACGGAGGGGAACACCACGACGACGTCTTCAAGAAGAGAGCGGCGCCCACAAGCATCACCATCATCGGCGCCAGAGCGCAGAGCTCTCGCCCGGTAGCTCCCGCATGCCACCATGAGGTCTTTAGAAGAAGCATGATGATCTCACATCCCTAGATCCTTCCTGATCGAGGCGCCACCACGGAGACCGAGAGCGCGCCCGGGCCACCTTGCGCTATGCCTCTCGCCACCCACACAACCAAGAGACAATGCCACCACCACCGCCATGGTGCCCTCCGGAGAGCCAACCATGCGGACCACCTTCCAGGGCCGCCGCCCCGGCATCCATGCCATGAGAAATTGCCAGCCGTCCACTTTACAGTGCACAAGCCGTGGTTGGAAAAGCCCGGCATCAGCCTCCAGGCCAGGGCCAGCGCCGCCACCGTAGGGGCACCCACGCCTGAAGTCCCCACCAATCCCGGTGGACCAGGGGGACATGACCTAGTAGCTGCCGATGGCCATCGTCAAGCCATCAACTCAAATGACGCCAAATCCGTGGCCTACAGCACTGATCCGACTGCCGCACAGCACTGTCACGACCACCAACGCCACGGTCCTTCACCAACGCCATAACGAGACGACGCCCCCCGATTGAACGCAAGCTCCTACCTTGGCCGGAACAGAGGCGGCCCAAAGCCGTGCATCGACTCCAGGGCGACTGAGCGCCGGACGTCGCGCGAGGAGCAACGAACCCTGGGCAGGAGGACCACATCAAACTCCCACACCAGCGGCCAGTCCACGTTGCTGCCCTACTGCCATCCAACACACCTGGGAAGGGCATCAGATCTGGGCATCCCAGATCCAGATGGGGGGCCGCCGAGCAGCCGCAACCACTGTGCCAGCCCGCGCCCCATCGGCTCTCCACGCATCACCCCGCCACCACCGTCCGAGGCCTAGGCCTCCACCGACCACCCGCTGTTCTGCCTCCACCCACCCGTGAGAAGAGCCGCCGGTCACCTCGCTGCCGGCAGCCGCCGCCCGATGCCCAGGAATGCCAGGCCGCGTCACCCCCAGGCCCCAGCCCAGGTCGATCAGGAGGGTTAGCTGGAAGGGCAAGAGTGAAGAGCGAGAAGCAAGGAGTCGAAAGTTCAATCCGATCAATGTTGGGCAGTTTTTTTTTGGAAAGAGCTCAAAGTACAAGAGTGAGAATTTCATAGCGGTTGCTAGAGAATAGCCAAATTGGACTCAAGCATACTTAGAATTGGCGAAATCTGCTATGCACTTGTTACCAGAAGTTCAAGTGAACCATGGACTGATGGAGTAGCTCATTTGTTGGCTGAACTAGCCAAGTGGACTATGCATTCTGTGTTTCACGGCTCCGATGTGTGTGTTCGAGTTGCTTCAGAACCATTGTAATAGTACTGTTCTAAATCAATAAAGTTCTTTCTTCTGCAAAAAAATAAATAAATAGAAGAAAAAAACATAATAAATCTATATACCTCATGATCATTTGGATCTACTTCTCTCAGCATCTCACTTAGTAGCTCCGCGGCACTTAAAATGCGTTGCAGGTCTGACAAACTAAACAGATAAAAATATGTCATATAACATGGAACACATTTCATCCGTTTTCTCAGACACTAACATGGAGCACACAAAAGATGCATAAAAATATAAAATAAATGGTTACCTCAGAGGAGAGCCACTTGATGAAATCATCCCATCAGCTCTCAAGGACGAATTGACTGGACTCCCGATCCCTGGTTGAAGGTGAGGGGCGAATATTGTTGCTGCCTCAGGTGAGCGCCTAGGAAATTCTAAACCAGATTGCTGCAATTAAAGAGGCTCATTGGGACATGCCAAACAAAATGATCCAAGATTTAACAACTATATGTACCAGATTCACATATCTGATGGGTGACTTTCGAAAGTTGAAGAATAAAAGGGTGTGTCATGAAGTCTAGGTTGTTCTGAATGGTTTAGCAGACAATAAAAATACCTTAAGTTCAGAATATGCCCAGTAGAACTGAGGGTGCTTCCCACCAGGCCCACCAAATGCTTCTTGCCAAGAATCAAGGAGTGTCAAAATTTTGTCCCTCACTTGCACATTTGCCTGTGGTTATACTGAAGAATTTAATCAATACCACAAAAACAAAATTTTAGAGAACAAAAAATTTATGATACATATGGTAATTAGAATTTATTAGACAGAGAGCCAGAGTAAATGTAATGTTTAGGAAGTTACTGACTGTAAGAGCAAAGATTGGATGAGTACACATGGATGCCAAATGGAATGTCAAGATCTTATGAATTTGATTAAAAAGGGGAAAAACTTAAAAACAAAATTACTACCCAATAAGTTTGAGAAGAAATCCTGCATATCTCAGTTTCCTCAGGTAGCAGTGCCGGGAGTGCAATTTTAAAAGATCTACAGTTAACCATGATGCCGTGACCACCTGAGATTTGTCTGTTTCAAAAATTCAGACCTTAACTAATCGTTCTTAAGCCATGGAGCTACGTCCATGCTGATTGTAACTAATTTTCTGACATTGGCCGGATAAGAACATATGTGTGTGTCTTCCAAAACATTAATGCATCTCATGATTATGTTCATGTCAACTCAGAGTATGTTAGGGTGTGAAGCCATCTATTTACCAGAAAATGGAAGGAATTTTACCTACATGATATACTATATTTCTTAGTTTCATGATTCAGAAAATAAACATTCAGTGGCTTTTCCAGATAACAAACTGTACAACGGCATGTATTAGAACACTAACCTTTTTCTTGGCAAGTTTGACCATTTCTGGCAATATACCGCGCTCTACAACCAGAAAATGCACATGATCCCCACAATTTTTCACCAGAGTCTCCAACAGCTGCAATCCCAGTTCACGGCATTCTCAAACAAGCACAAACAGAGCAGAACTAAAAATTCACTTAGGCTGACAAGCAGAGAAATGTACCGTCAATGCAAGAGATTGAACCGATGAATTCTTGTGTTGAAGACGCTTCTTCACAGTTTTAATCACCTCCTTTGCTTGCCTGAATCATTGATTTATGTGTAAGCTCAACATTTACTCTTGTAGGAAAGTAGTCAGAAAAACTGTAAGGATGTAAGCTCTCTGCGCCTGTCACATCATTAATGTCGTGACCACACAAAACGAGGCTGCAAACTTGTAACCGCTCTGCTTGGAACATGTTGCAGATGATAACTACCTACCATGAGAGGTTTGATCCGTGGTAAAGCTCATCCACCAGATTGGCAGGCGCTATCCCAAATTGGTTTCAAAAGTATTTGAAGGATGTTCCTTGAGAAAGTTCAGTGTGAATATGGGTTTTATTTGGTCAATTACATGTTATCTCAGCGGCAAAAGGCATCAGTTATTCAGCCTATATAATTCTTAGTGATGTGTGGGTAGGATGGCCTAACCTTTTCAATACATTAAACCTGACGACAGACTTAGTCAATGCAGGAAAGAAGTAAAATGGTGTGTCGGCTCAGATGTCCTCTGTCTGAAACATGTCTAGTGCAGTAATTCTGAGCATCATTCATGCATGAGTCCCGTCTTTTCAGAGTAAAAACTGTACGTACGTACTATATGCTTATACAGCTATACTTTGTATGTCCACTATATCCGATGCTCTGCTTTTTTCTGAACTGCCAGTTGGTTGAGCTCCACCTATTATAATTGCTGCGCGCCCAATCATGCTATCGATCGATCAATCAAATACTGGTATAACCTTGGCGCGAGGCGATAATTATTTTTTTTAGCATATTAAGATGAGGAAGAACAAGAATAGCAGTACTAGAGAAAACGGGAAGCGGGTTGCGGTTGCACAGGAAGGAAAGGAACGGATCGAGAAGACGGATTTCGAGCGATTATCGCGGTCGCACAGGAACCGATCGAGGACTGGGAAGGAAGCCGGTGGAGAGAGTAACGGACAGGGAGAGAAGGGAAGGGAAAGGGAGTAACCCGTGATCGGAGTTGGCGCCGTCGCAGATGTCGATGTTGAGGCTCCAGTCGGGCCCCAGCAGCAGGTCGCTCGTCGCCTTCTCCACCCTCACCGCCGCCGCCATGTCCACCGCCCACCTTGGCTCCTCGACTCCCTTCTCCACTCGCCTCTCTCTCGCGGAAGACGTACGCGGGGGAGGATCGACAGGATCGCGCAGAGAGATGGAGGGCCGATGGCGGTATGGTATTGGAGCGGTGCGAATGGGACTCGGGCGATCGGTTTCGGTTTCGGTTTCGGTAAAGAAGAAGACAAAACGGGCGGCCATTATTAGGCGCATCTGTGCGCTTCCGGTCCGTGCGAGGCAGAGGCAGAGGCCGGTGCCGGTCGCACTCCGGCTCCGCGCACCGAGCCATGCCAGGGACGCACGCACGCACGCACGCACGCACTATTCCCTCGAGAGGAAAATCCAGCGGAAAACATTATCCGGAGCCGGAGTGGTGGTGGAGGCCCGCGAATTGAATCGATCTCTCACGGGCTGTTGCTGTCACTGGTGCTAGGCTGACACACAAAAGTACAGGCCAATTCCTCCAAGAGCACACCCAGCTCCACGTGAGCCGTCCTTCTGGTCCATGGGCGTATATACACATCACATAAAAAATAGTTTAACAATTAAATAAAAAATCAGTTTTGAAGATATTTTTAAAATAAACTTGAGCTTCCACTGCACGGTTAAAAACAGTTCCACCAAAAAGAAAAGAAAAATCATTGACTTCTTTTCGAAAATTGACAAAAGAATTCAGTCAAAAAATTGTGTGGATAGTGACCTATGAAAGCAAATAATTTTAAATTTTTTTTTGCCCTGAGACGCTGGTTTTTCTAGTTGTGAAAATTTATACTAGTGCAAAAGAAAGTCAAGTTCATTGTAAGAAAACTTTCAAACTTCTTTAATTATTAAAACAATCTCATATGATGTACGTATGTATACACCAAGGCACCAAATGGTACTTCCCGTTCTTGTCATCTTTTTTTTGCGGATAAGTTGTTTCGCACACACACTCTCTATACATATCCAATCTCGATCATTGCGGCACTCTGTTCAAAAGAAGGATCACGGCGGCGGCGCAAGTAACATGACAAATAAAATCTAAACTTTTGTCAATACTACTCCCGTAGCTTTTAATTAAAATTTTTAGGGGTCTGTAGCTTTTAATTAATTTTTTTTAGAATCAGATTTTGATTAGTTAAGCTTACCCCGGCCACAACTTTTCGCCGAGCACATCACGCAGATGCGGGCGGGTCTACACTGAACCCACAGGGCCTAGCTAGCGCAGCAAAGGCACTATGGTGGTGGCGCCGTGGTGGAGGGCTTCGTCGGTTGCCACTCCCACGCCGCCGACCACCGTTGGTTGCGTGGCGCCTCGCTCTACATCACGACCAAGACTTTTTGATTCTGGTGGTTTCTGATAGGAACGACTCAATTGATTGACTCCAACCATTATTGCTTCGGGCTAATATTCAGTCTACATCATGCTTTCGGTATTTTTTCGATAAGGAGAATATATTAATATCACTGAGATACTTCCTTCGTTTCTTTTTACTCGCGGCCGGCCGGCCTCGCGCGCCGTCCCGTACGTGCCGAGGCCGAGCCGGAGATCGCCGGAGCGTATCTCCGCGTAGTAGCCGCCGTTGGGGCGCAGGCAGACGCCGCGGTAGCCGGACTCTCCTCGGCGGCGCGACGGCATGGCGTGGCGCTGGAGCGGCGCGTGGCACAGAGAGAGCGAGAGAAGAGGAGGCGTGGAGAGGCGCGTGGCGCGCGCTGGACTTTATAGGCGCGCCGGAAGCGGCGCGCAAAATATGACGCGCGAGCTAGCGCCTTTTCGCGCGCGCAAGCGGTTCCCGCGCGCGTGGTTTCCCCCCGCCGCTGAAGCGCGGCAAAACGCTCGGCGCGCGCTAAAGGGTTTGTTTACCGCGCGCACCCCGTTTCGCGCGTCCGTTGAAGATGCTCTAAACGGTGAGGCGCGCTTTGTCGCGCCGTTCCTCGGCCGGGCTATTACAATTAGAGGTGAGCACTTTTACATCAAAAGTCGAAGAATCAAGCTGAACTAAGCTGACCGATGTTGCTGATTTATTCGGTTGTTGGTGTTCGATTCGGCGTTTCCATCACTAGTTGTTTGTGTTTGGGTATGTATAGCCAGTTTTCATCCTACATAAACCAAACAGACTATCAGACCTTATACACCAAAATATACATTTATTTTTTCTGACTACCCTGCTTTGTTGGCACATGTAAGCATGACCCTAGGCCCATGTACTATGCACGACCCCATACAAGCCAATCTATTCATGCCTCTGCTCTCAAAATCATTCTTCTTACCCTGACTTTCATCCTCAAAGGGCTCGAATCTCTCAATCTAGTCGCCTCTCAGCCTTGAGGTTGGATTTACAGCCACAGGGCCTAGCTACAACGATTCTCCGATATGTGCTCATGTTGGCTCGGCTCTCCAGCGTCCAACTTTTGTCGTTCTACCTCTCCCCGGCACTAGCACAACATCGGTCTTCCACCGTGAATGCATCGCTCAGAGAAGCCTGGTGGGGAAGATGGAGAACGCGGCGACCCGGTCGCTCACCGCAGAACCAGCAAGCTGGCGCCACCCCCTCACAAACACACGAAGCAGATAACTAGTTTGCCCCTTCCCCGACAACGAAATAACTCAACACGCGGGAGATTCTATTCAACGCGCAACGCGTCCAAGGATGACCAGGCACACACACCCCAGGACATTCACTTTGGTTGGCTACCGGTCCCCCGATGGGCCTCAGCCCATCCAAAGAAGCAAAGGAAAAAAAATAAAGAGGAAGGAAAACAGAAAAAAGTAGAGACGATATTTAAAATGTTCATAAAATGAAGGAATCTTCATGATTTTAAAAACATGTAAAAAAATGCCCATTAATTTAAAAATATACGTATTTGAAAAATGCCTGTGAATGTAAAAAATGTTCACGAATTTAGCAAATTTGAAAAAATGTTCCCCGCGATAATTTTTTTTTGCAAATTTTAGAAATGATCATGAATTTAGAAAATGATCTCGGATTTCAAAGTAGTTCTTGATTTTCAGAAATGCTCATGATTTTTTAAAATATTAATGAAATTAAAAAGTGTTCATGAATTTAAATATTTGTCCACCGATCATCATAAAAGCGTCACGTCCACGTGTAAACAAGCCCAACCGCAACCAACAACCAATCCACTTCCTAACATGTGGGCCCACGATTGCATATTACCTGGATGCACTAGGACCTCCGTTCCAAGGGGGTTTAATACCATAAGAGATGTTCATTCTTATGGGTAGTTCACATTGATTTGTTGTGTGCTCTATATATGATACAGTAGTGTAACTTAACAAAATTTCATGAAGGGAATCATTTTCGTTACCCATGTGGAATCAAACAATTTATCGTAGTCTATCTCTCCTCATCTTTCCCCTTTGTCATGAGAGGCAATCAAGGCGATTCGTCATTCCTCGCCACCCATCATCATCGGTGTTGAGCCTGTTGGTTACCCCTTTCTCCATCGGCTTCCCCAGCGGTTCGATGGGTGGGCAACCCTAGTGTTTCGGGGTCGATCCGTACATAGTTAAGGATTAGGGTTTCTCGGTGGCACATTGTTGATTGTGGCAGCAGTGCCAGTCTGGTGAATACATTTTTTCTCTCCGGCTTGTCCATCTCAATGATGTCGTCTTTGGCGGCACCAACGACTCACGGGCATAAATCCTCGTCGACTCTTGCCACCTTTCAGGACAACGAGGCTAAGGTTTACAGGGTACGTCGATGCGACGCGCTCACAACCACTCCCCCCTCCCACCCCATGTGGTTTGGTGCTCCAGACTCATCTTTGTCACGTCGGTGCGTTATCTCATGCCGGTGTGACGCCTAGAAGAAATAACGAGGTATGCTATTGGATTTTCAACTCTTTCAATTATGATGACTTATTCTTAAAGGTGTTAGGTCAGCGAAACTATGGCCTTCATGACTACTCTTATGTGATCAACAACGACAGGCTTACTTCGAGGATGGAGAGTCATGCGAAGGCAGGCCATCGCCCCTACCAAGGAGAAGACAATGTGTCCCAAGGACTCCATTTTTTTTTTTGCCGGAAAGACTCCAATGTAATTTCCGTATTTTTCAAGTTGTTTGTACTCCTGGTTTGGCAGAAATAGAAATTCTGAATCTGAAGAAGGAAAAAAAGAACTCCATTCGTCAGTCGGTCGGTCGGTCTTACCAGCACAGCACAGTAGCAGTCACCACCACGGCACCGGAGAGTTGCCCAACCGCTCCACCGATGGAAACCGCCGCGGCGCCCCGAGTCCAGGCGCTGGCCGACGCCGGCGTGCCCCACCTCCCGGCGCAGTACATCCAGCCGCCCGACCTCCGCGCGGGCCCCTCCCCCTCCCTCGCCGCCCCCCTCTCCGTCCCCGTCGTGGACCTCTCGGATGCCGCCGCCGCAACAACCGACGCGGTCGGCCGCGCGTGCGCCGAGTGGGGCGCCTTCCACGTCGTCAACCACGGGGGCCCGCCGGGGCTGCTCGACGGGATGCGGGCCGCCGGGCTGGCCTTCTTCCGCGCGCCCATGGCGGAGAAGCTCCGGTTCGGCTGCGACCCGGCCAGGGGCGCCGCCGCCGAGGGGTACGGCAGCCGCATGCTCGCCAACGACGACTCCGTGCTCGACTGGCGCGACTACTTCGACCACCACACCCTCCCCGAGTCCCGCCGGGACCCCGCCCGGTGGCCCAACTTCGTGCCAGGATACAGGTAAGAGTAAATTTTTTTGCCCTGGTAGCTCCTACGAGTTAAATGTGCACGCTCCATATCTTTTGTAGAATTTTTGGACTGCTTTGGCCATTTTATGAACAATTCACTAATAACAAAAACATGAATTACATGCTCAGATGCAGGATTGAGTAAAAAAAAATGTTGACAAAACACACTGTCTCTGTTTTAGATTCATGTTTAGGTTCAGGAAAAACTTTATCTCGCCGACTCTCTATTGGACCAGAATTTCACACACATTTTTTTCCGTGCGATTTAATTTCTAGTACTATCTAGAAATGACCATTTCAGTGTGATTTTCTAATTGTCTACATAGGTTCTTTCAGAGTATGATTTTGAGTAGAAATTCAGCCAGATGCTACTGTAACACGGTCGCTACTGAGATTCATTAATACTCCCTCCGTAAAGAAATACAAGAGCATTTAGATCACTACTCTAGTGATCTAAACACTCTTATATTTCTTTACAGGGGAGTACATCTCATGGGATACCTTGTATCATTATTGCTCATGTTGCTACAATTTCTATCACATTAACATGTTTTTACAAGAACAAATAGCCTAATATATCTGCAATGTTTGCAGGGACACTGTTGTAAAATACAGTGACAGCATGAAAGTCCTTGCCCAAAGATTGCTGTGCATCATCTCTGAAAGTCTGAAGTTGCCACCCTCCTACCTGCAAGAAGCGGTGGGAGAAGCTTATCAGAACATCACCGTTAGCTACTATTCCCCTTGTCCACAGCCAGATCTTGCTCTCGGATTGCAATCTCATTCTGACTTTGGCGCAATAACACTTCTAATACAAGATGATGTGGGTGGGCTCGAGGTATTCAAGGATGGGATGTGGATACCTGTGCATCCTGTGCCTGATGCAATCCTTGTAATTCTGTCTGACCAGACAGAGGTAAATACCTCCACATGCTTTATTACTTAACAGCCTGTTGGGTAATCACTTGGGCAGGGGAATGGGAGTTTGTGGAGGGATTAGGCAATGGGAAATAGACTTTTACTTCCATTCCCTTGTTTGGTATATGATTGGAATTAGTGTGGGAGGAAACTCTGCCCACGAATTAACAGGGTATCCCGTCGGAAGAAAATGGTGGGAATTGGCTTTCTCAACTCCCATTCCCCTTCCCACTTAAACTCCCATCCCCTCTAATCAATCAGTGATATGACTTCTAGGGTCTGTCTAACATATATACTTACAATACCCTGTTCTATTTTGGACGACTTCAATTCAATATTTCTCGATAGCTTGTATGAATCTGATCAAAATCAACAGATGCTGGAATACTGGTAGGAATAAAACCTACTACTAGTTCAAGGATGTGCTGCTTGATATTCCATCAGCTAAAATTTAGTAAACTGTCAGAAACAATTTGTCAGTAAACTTCATTACACCAACCATTACAATTGTTTGGCGGGGCAGCACATAATGTACTGATTGTGCATCATGACACAATTTTCTTTCTTCTGTTTACATGCAGAATGCTAATTAATCCCAGTTTATTTAGCGTTCTTTTTTATGCTTCATGTTCAATGTTTTGGTGAATAAGTGCAAATCTTATCATATGGCCACGCTTCTTCCGTATGAACATTTTGTTATGTTTTCACTAGATTGACGTCTGCATGTACATTTTGTTATCTTTCATTAGATTGACATGGTCTTTGACCAAACCGTTGATCCTAAACTTAAGCTGAAAATCTCCTCCTGCATAGTTGCTAAATGGTTCTTTCATATGTTGCTCATGTTTTCTACCATGATTCAGATCATAACCAACGGAAGATACAAGAGCGCCGTGCATCGAGCTGTGGTCAATGCCGACCGTGCCCGCTTGTCAGTGGCGACGTTCTACGATCCACCTAAATCTCAGAAAATATGTACTGCCCCCCAGCTCGTGAGCAAGGACCATCCGCAGAAGTATCGGGATGTGGTTTACGGCGACTATGTCTCATCCTGGTACAGCAAAGGCCCAGAGGGCAAGCGCAATATCGACGCCCTCCTGATGGAGCAATAGACAGGGCCATTGAAATGTACCACAAAAATTTGTTACACACACAGCGCGAACCTGACAAACTTGATCAATAAAGAGGTGGAAAACAAGGTTGTACATAATGTGATTTGTTTGTGTGAAATTTTACTCTAGCCTCCGTGTAGTTGAATGCTATGATCAATAATTCATGTCTCTTTTGGTCGACCCGTGTTATGTACTCCCTCCGTTCCTAAATATAAGTCTTTGTAGAGATTTCACTATGAACCACATACGGATGTATATAGATGCATTTTAAGTATAGATTCACTCATTTTGCTTCGTATGTGGTCCATAGAAATTACTCCAAAGACTTATATTTAGGAACGGAGGGAGTAGTACTCTCTCCATTCCAAAGTAAGTGTCGCTGACTTAGTACAAAGTTGTGCTAAATCAACGATACTTATTTTTGAGACAGAAGGATTATTGGACAACCCTTTCTTTTTTTTTTTGACGGGACAACCCTTTCTTTGGTTAATTGAATGAAGAACACAAGTTCTCTTCATCCCTAATAATGAAAGAAAATGCAGGTACAATCTGCCAGTGAGCCTCTCTTTTTTTTAAGTTCAGATTGTTTTTTTGAGTGGTTTTATTAAGTTAAGATGCCACCGTGTAATTTTTTCCGGAGGACAAATGTGAGATCTATCTAGGGTAAGTAAAGCCCTTTTTTTCAACAGTGGCACCGGCGTTCACTGGGAAAAAAAAATCAGGGGTGAGAAGAAAACTAAAAAAAAAAGTGGGGCGTTGCGAGAATCGAACTCGCGACCTCTCGCACCCAAAGCGAGAATCATACGACTAGACCAAACGCCCAATTGATGATAATAATTAAACGGAACATTATATAACATAATCATAAAATCAGCCACAACCACGACTTGAGTAATGCGTTCAGGTGATAATAATAACAGAGATTAAAAAAATTCGCCGTTGCCGGGGATCGAACCCGGGTCACCCGCGTGACAGGCGGGAATACTTACCACTATACTACAACGACTTGGATGTATTTTTTATTGGCGGACACTATATGTAGGGCTGAATATTGAGAACTCAAAGCCTCACCCAGCTTAGAAAAGGAAAAAAAAATGAGATCAAGGCCATGAGGATTCCTTCAAATGGATATATAGAGAGAGGCCATGGAGGAGCACTGGTGCCGATGGCGAGCAGTGGAGGTCGGACATCATCAATTGGCCGGCGCCCCAAGGAGGCGCGACGAGTGGAGCGGTAGCGGAGGCATGGGGAGAGGTGGTGACGGCTGGGCACAACACTGATGAGTGTTGAGGGGAGTCGCAAGGGCACACTATGAGCCTGCGTCGGGAAGGAGAGAGCTAGAGCAAATGTTGCTGGAGCTGGCTCAAGCCGATAGTGGCAAATTATCATTAAAGGCCTCGTTTGTTTCGCGTGGGTCGGAGGGGTTTCCAGAGGATTAAGGGTTTTCAGAGGATTAACCCCACCCAGAATCCTCGCAAATCCTCGTTGGTCCATTTGGTACGCGGGGTTTCGACGGCCCAACCCCCTCGAGTCCCCTTCGATCCACTTGTTTCCACGCGCTTCAGAACCCTCGAGTGGGCTCGAGGATTTGGCTGCTCGACTCGAGACGCCACCGCCGACTCCTCCCCAAGACGCCGCGCCGCTCAACGCCTCGACGCCGGCGATCTCCTCCGGCATACTGGACTTCTCCCCGGTGGTAAGTCATCGCCGCCCCTCCCCTCCCCCTCCTCTCCCGGGAGGCAAGTCTTCGCCATGGCTGCCACCTCCCGCACGCCCTCCGTCCGCCTCGTCCTCACCGGCGAGCACGCCAAGAACGACGTATCCTACCCCCAGCTCCACATGGACCCTAACCCTACCCGGCTAGCTCGCCAAGGACTTCGTCCTCTTCTAGCCCCTCTTATACCCTAACCCTAGCCGGCGAGATTGCCATAAATTTGTGTTGGTGATGGTATGATGCATCTAGGAGGATAAATTGGCTGATTCTAAACCAAGTTCGCCCCCTCCTGGTGACAGTTGTTGATCCCGCGGTCGATCTGCCTGCCTATCTAGAGATATATAGTAGCATTAGTAGTGCTCATTTGTGATGATCTGATGCTGATGCTGATGGCAGTGTGGTGCAGATTGTAAATTAGTGATGGTGATAGTCTGATGTTGTAACTGTTGTGCGTATGTGCGGTGATTGTAAACTGTTGTGCATAACCTGCATATTTCGGTGACATAGTACAACAGTCGGTGTTGTAGCTGAGCACCTTTTCTTTTTCTTTAGTACAACCACATTTTTTTTAGCTCTCAAACTGCAGCTTACATGGTTGTGCCTTTTTACCTCTTAGCTTTCTCAGTACTTAAAATGCAGCTCAAATGGTAGTGATATATATTATCCTGGATAAACAATCATTGTACAGGATACAATCAAAATGAACATGCTCTCAGAGGAACATGCATGCAACAGTGTACAGGATAGGATGGCCTTGTGCCATCTACTCCCTCTGTTCTCAACTTAGACATGTTCTTATTTTGACAGAATCCTGCCGCTTGGATATCTTCTTATTTTAAGAGTAAATTTATTCCAGGGCCAAAGACTTGTACATGTTCAGTTTAGTATTGTACTGAACTAGTTTTGCTATGACAATTGTGGTTGGCTGATGTATCTTTGCTGCTTATCTGCGAGTAGAAGTAGTAGTAGTGATTTCTGTGGTAATACTATATCTATATCAGTGATGATCTTACCAACACTGGCTTTTCTATTCATCTAAACTGAATACTGCCGTATCTCTGCATTTGTATTTTATTATCTGCAAGTAGTAGGACTTGTTTTGCATTTATTATGCTTAATTGCTTACTATGTTCCGGCGATACTTGACGAAATCTACTATTATACTTTCATATGTATTACTCGCTTTGTAAATAGAACTAATCGTTCATCTATCTAGCAAAGCTATTTGCTGTAACAGTTTTTCTCAAGGCACTCTAATATTCATCTCTTTTTGTTTTATTAGGTTCTCAAGCACCAAAAGAAGCCACAATAAACAAGCCGGATGGATAAATTTCTCTCAGGTTCTCAATGCTAGATGACCATGACACCAAAAGATGGATACATTTGTCTGCAATATCTTTGTTTCAAAATGATGTTGTGGCTGTGATGAACTGTTTGCTGCGAAAGATTATGTTGTTATGATAAATTATGAATGCTGGGATTTGGGATTCAAAGTCATGCTGTTATGATAAATTATGTTGTTGTTGTGATGAGATATTGATTTCAAGTCATGTAAAATTATGTTGTTGTTGGAAAAACTGCTGCTAAATTATGAGATAGTGATTTCAAGTCATTTTTATTAGGTGACCTTTTCAATTCTGTAGCAAGGATATAAGGGGAGTTAGTTACATTATAAAGATTGGATTTTTAAATGTTACCAAATAAAATTTTAAACAAATTGTGAAAGGAAGGGTTTTGAG